TGCTGGCAAGAAGTCAGGGTAGGGGAAGGCACCAGGGGCACCAGGGCGTCCCTGGGGGCAGTCTTTTTTTTTTTTCTTTTTTCTTTTTTCTTTTTTGACAGGCAGATTGGACAGTGAGAGAGAGAGAGACAAAGAGAAAGGTCTTCTTTTGCCATTGGTTCACCCTCCAATGGCCACTGTGGCCGGCGGACTGCGCTGATCCGATGGCAGGAGATAGGCACTTAGCCTGGTCTCCCATGGGGTGCAGGGCCCAAGCACTTGGGCCATCCTCCACTGCACTCCCTGGCCACAGCAGAGAGCTGGCCTGGAAGAGGGGCCACCGGGACAGAATCCGGTGCCCCGACCGGGACTAGAACCCAGGGTGCTGGCGCCGAAGGCGGAGGATTAGCTTATTGAGCTGCGGTGCCGGCCAAGAGGGCAGTCTTTTTCCAGTGACCCCATTGGCCACATGAGGGGCAAGCTTTTGTCGGGGGCCTCGGGTTGGGGCATGCTCTTGCCAGTGTCGAGTCTGGTTGCAGCGAAAGCAGGGACCAGGAAGGATCCTTGCCCCGGCCTGCGGGGTAATCAACTAGGACACGAGGAGGGCAGACCTGAATGGAGAGGACAAACCAGACACGAGAAGGGAGACCAAGACAGTACTCTGATTAAGGTCTCACTTTATTGGAGAAGAAGGTAGCTTATATAGTACAAGGCAAGGATTGTAATAGTCGAGGGTAAGCAGGGGTCATCTTACAATATATTTCAAAGGAATAATTTCACAGGAATCAGTATCAGTTTGACAAAGGGAGTACAGTGAGGTCTTACAGCTACCAGACATGCTTATCGAGGTACAATAAAGAGCACTGAAGCCAGATGGCCAAGCGCTAACCATATCAGTGAGCTGTACAAATGGAATTTTCTAGTGAATCCTCCTTACAGGAACACAATTGAAGGTTAGTCTAAACAAAGGCCTATACAGGGAAACCAGCACAGTGGCTCCCAACAGATCCTGCCTTTGGGTGTTGGTGTGTCGGGGCTGGATGGACTTTGGTTTGGGAAGGCCGAGGCCAGCATGTTATATTTAGTATTTCTGTCCTGGTCCTTTTCTCCTTTTGCCTCATCTTTCGGTTATATACCTTAAAGGCCACATCTAGGAGCTCCTTTTGGGGTGGTTTCAGACCCCATTCTAGTTGTCGGAGTTTATGTCTGATATCGGGTGCTGATTGGCTGATGAACTGGATGTGGAGGGACAGGGTTCCGGCTGGAGTGGTTACATCTAGATTTGTATGTTTTTGGACAGCTTCAGTGAGGCAAGATAAAAAGAGGGCTGAATTTGCATCAGGGCCTTGAGATATTTCCCTGACCTCTGATAGTTGACATAGGCATGAGAATCTTTCTGCTGTCTGGCTCGGTATCCGGGAGAGCAGTATCTGCCACCGGATATCATGAGGGGGCTTGTTCATGCAGGTAGTCTGCATGAGCCGAGCCGAGCGCCAGATTCGCTCCTTTTTGATGGCAGTAAGGGTAGAGGTTAATACCTAATTGACATCTCCTCAGGTTAAAAGATAGGCTTGGGCAAGGTGGAGGAACTCATACATTTAGCTGAGTTGTTTGAAAAGGAGCCCAACTTTTCCTCACTGTTGCCTATGTCGGACAAAGAAAAGGGGATATGGACCCTAGTGGGCCCCTGAAGTCAAGTGAGGGGAGAGATCCAGTGAGATGGGGGCATAGGAGGGGGCTTTGCGGGCGCATAGGCAAGGTGAGGGGTAGAGCTGGCCCCTGTGGTTGCAGGGAGAGACTGGAGAAGGGAGAGGGGAAACAGCAGCTGGGGAAGGGAGAGAGGAGACAGATGGATCTGTTTGGCCTGGGGGAGGGGATTGGAGAATCCTGTATCACCCTAGAGGCGATGACGGAGGAAGTGGAGGGAATTTGGGAGGGAGCTTCCCGGAGAGTCTGGGAGGTTGAGGAGGGGGTTGTTAGAGGGGAGTTGAGTGGTTTGGGCAGTGCAGAAGATGGGGGTTGGTAACCAGGGGGCTCATTAGCTGGATCAAATGCATCTAGATCCAAGGGAGATGAATTGGCTTTGGATTGAGGTGGGTCTAGGAGGAAAAGAGGGAGAACAGAGAAGGAGTTCCTAGGAGGAACAGTCAGTTACAATGGGTAACTGTAGAAAGCCTGTAGGTGTGGGGGGAGAAACTGGTCCCACATGATTGGAAATGGGGGACCAGAGGAATGGTGATGGACACGCAGCAGTGAAATTGGGCGTCCCGTCGCTCACTGTGGGTTTGGCCAAAGCCAGAGCCAGTGGGCAGAGTGCGCGTGGCAGTGATGTTAGGTGTCCCCTTATTCAGTGGTGGGGTGCGACCGAAGCCAGAGCCTTAAGGTGGAGGATCCTGGTCCTGGACTTGGACAGGCTAGAGAAGAGGCAAAAGCTTAGGACAGAGGCAGCCCTCAGCTTCCCAAGCGCGGTCAAACACCCAAGAAAAGGGAGATGACTCTAAGGTACCCCCTCAGGTGGTCAGGGCCTGGTTTTCACCTGGGCAAGTTCCAACTTACCAGAGAGTCGCCCTGGCCACAGGCTGTCAGTCGTCCACCAGTCTATTCCCAGTCCCACGCATCCAGTCTTTGTCAGGTGATAGGAAAGAGCAGGTAGGGGTGGGCAGGGGCTCAGCTGGGGGTCCCCCTTGGATGTGCTGGTTACCACGGGGAGCCTGATGCTCAATGGTTCCACAGAAAAGTGAAGTTCAGGCCGGCGCCGCGGCTCAGTTGGCTAATCCTCTACCTGCGGCACTGGCACCCCGGGTTCTAGTCCCGGTTGGGGCGCCAGATTCTGTCCCGGTGGCCCCTCTTCCAGGCCAGCTCTCTGCTGTGGCCCGGGAAGGCAGTGGAGGATGGCCCAAGTGCTTGGGCCCTGCACCCCATGGGAGACCGGGAGAAGCACCTGGCTCCTGGCTTCGGATTGGCACAGCACGCTGGCCTTAGTAGCCATTTGGGGGGTGAACCAACGAAAAAAAGGAAGACCTTTCTCTCTCTCTCTCTCTCTCACTGTTTAACTCTGCCTGTCCAAAAAAAAAAAAAAAAAAAGTGAAGTTCAGAGGGAGGAAGTGGGTTAAAACACAAAAGAGCCATTCCTCAGATGGGCCACCAAATGTTAGGTCCAGAATATCTCGGGGTTCCGGTCTTTCGTAGCCCGAGAAAGGGGAGCCGAGACGGAAAAAGGAGATGTACACCGACTTCAACAGAGGCAGATTGCTTTACTGGAAGCAAAGAGGTTGGCGGCAGTGTGTTCTTGCGTAGAGACTGTGCGTAGGGTGCATTTGGGACTCAGGTTTTATCCAGTTAGTAGGGAATGTGCCATGTGGGGAGGCGTAGGAGGCGGCTGGGGAAGAGTGGGTGTCTCCCTGAAGCCTCAGGGGCCTTCCCCCTTCCCTGTTTCACAAGATGCTCTGTGTGGCTGATCTGCTTTGCTATTTGCATTGCCAGGAGACTGGAGGGTTGTTTGGCACCTAGGATCTCCACAGAGGGAGGGTGTGGGGCGGGGAGGGGGAAGGAGGGGAAAGGGGCCACATGTCCTTCAGATAAGCTTGTAAAAAATAATGAGTAGGATCAGTTAATTGGAAGACCTGTGACAGCTGAAGAACAGTGTCCTGGGGTTGTTGAAAAGGTGAACCATGGGGCAGGAAGCGCCTAATCGGCACCTGGACCTCCCGGGAAAGCAGCCCGTGCAGTGGCACAACTCTGAGTGATGGTGCGGCCAGCGCCTCGCTGTGCAGTGAGAGGCCCAACCACGTGTGGCTGTTCACATTTAAATAAAATTAGGGGGGCTGGCATTGTGGCGCAGTGGGTAAACACCCTGGCCTGAAGTGTCAGTATCCCAAATGGGAGCCAGTTCAAGTCCCGGCTGCTCCACTTCTGATCCAGCTCTCTGCTAAGGCCTAGGAAAGCAGTAGAAGATGGCCCAAGTCCTTGGGCCTCTGTACCTGCATGGGAGACCCAGAAGAGGCTCCTGGCTCCTGGCTCCTGGCTTTGGATTGGCGCAGCTCCGGCAGTTGCGGCCAATCGGGGAGTGAACCAGCGGATGGGAGACCTCTCTCTCTCTCTCTCTCTCTCTGCCTCTCCTTCTCTGTGTAACTCTGACTTTCAAATAAATAAATAAATCTTTAAAAAATAAAAAAAATAAGTTTGAACATCTGCACTAGGCACATTTCAGGTGTTCCTCACCCCACAGAGCTAATGGCTACCGTACCAGACAGCACAGACAGGGAAAATGTCCATCTTCACAGAAAGTTCTGCTGAGATGCACGGCTTAAATGAAAGCTGGCCCTGGGTTTCTGAAGAGGGAAGCTGGAAAGGCTTGTTTGGGGTAAGACTTGAGATAGGTAGTGTCATCTTGGCCAATGATAAAACCGCCCAGAAGTGCTATGTGAGTAGGTGTGGGGTTACATTGGAGGGAGCCCTGTTTGTTCCACAGCCCTTGGAGAAGGCATTCTGGTCGAGGGGCTTGCTGAGCAGAAACTGAGGTGCTGTGAGCTTCATTTTTTCCCTAACCCGCAGGGTCATCAGCTGCCCATCAGCGTGGACAGCCCAGGCTCCTCCCTAGCTAAAGCAGCCTCCTGTCCCTCACCTGCGGCTGCACTGTCCTGATCCCGGGAGTCGGCCAGTGCTGGCATTCTCTCTAGTTGCTTGCTGAAGAGGAAAGTGAGGTATCCCTGGCCCAGCTGACCCTGGTCCAGGCTGGCAGAGCAGGTTCACCCAGTCTGCTCTGAGGTGGGAGGTGAAGCCCGCTCGTCCCCAGGTGCCTAGGGAGAACAAAGACAGTGGCTGGGGCTGGGAACTGAGACTTCTGGCTTTGTCATGTATCAGGTCAGTTTCTTGAGTGGCACATAATGTAGCCACTGTCATTCCAAAACAAGGTGCATAGACCCCGCAGGCTAACCTCCCCCACCTTCTGTCCGGGGAAGAAGGGGAGGCGGTAAGGCCCGAAGGTCAGGGCTGCTATTGGCCGAAGGACACCAGGAGGCTCGCCAGAGCAGAGCGCATCTTTACTGTGGACGGACAGCCGCGCGTGCCCCTCCTGGCCAGCCCTTAGGAGTTGATGATCTCAATGTGGAACTGCAGGTGGGTGGCGGTGACCACGCAGTGACCGCGGAGAAGAGCGCACGTCTGGCAGTTGTGGCACTGCCAGTGGCACTGGATGACGTAGATGGCATTGAGCACCTGGCGGTATCGCCAGTGGACGCGCCACATGCGGACCAGAGACTGCAGCTTGATCACCGCCCTCTCTCGCTGAGCGTAGACCAGCAGGGCCTCGCGCCGCTTCCTCTCCAGCAGCTTGAGCAGCGTCAGCCGCCACCAGCACTGGATGATCCAGGCCCTGAGGGCCATGTGCAGCAGCGTGCGGCGCACCAGGGTGCCGCGCCACCACGCCTGGATCCATATGGCTGCGATTTCTTTTCTTTTCAAATCTTTCTAGGCGGAGAGAATAGAGACCACTCAGGGGGACGTCCTGCCACCAATGTCCAGGATCTTCCTGGGAGCCTGGATTCTCTGTCCCTTTTTAAACACTTTTAATTATTTGAGAGAGAGAGAGACAGACCTTGCATCTACTGATTCACTCTCCAAATGGCCACAACCAGGATCCAAGAACTCAACCTGCATCTCCCATGTAGGTGCAGGGACCCAGCTACTTGAGCCGTACCTGCTGCCTCCCCGGACTCTGAACATTCTGCTGTCGGACTCAGAGCCCCCGCCTTCTCCCTTCTCTGCCCCATGCATTTTTGGATGACCCCGCTTCTGTGCAGTCACCTTCTGTGTCATGGTCAGACCCGGGTGCAGCGCAGCCAGGCCGAGAAAGGCCGGGGAAATGAGCTCACACTGAGTGGACTCCCGAGGAGTTCAGGCTTTGGAGCCATCAGAGGCAAAGCCCACACTCTTGTGATGTGGATGAAAACGTCCTGGATTTCTCTTAACAACAAGGAATTCTACCCACCATTTTCTTTTTCTTTTCCATAAGACGCCATTGAGTTATTTCTTCAGTATCTTCAACCTCAATTATCATGAAGTGGCCATCGACCTGTGGTCAGAACAAGATGGGAAATAGAGGCTGAATGAGGCTGCGGCTTCTCGGTCTGCACCAAGGCCCTCGCTGCTTAGCCTCCTTGTGTCACCGAGACTGTGGGCCCCAGGCTGAGGCTCACCCATCCCTAGCCCGCCTAGTAGATCTGGCCATTTTCTCTTACACAAAATCGAACCCCCATTGCCTGTTTCTAGATGGTTCATTGGCCCTGATTTCTGTACTTCCACAGGCGTGGCGTGAGCAGTGTGGGTGAGAGGAGAGGTATGAGCTCACAATGCATTGTGACATAGGGCCTGGCAGTCTTCCACTAGCGGAGTCTGCCTCACTGCGACCGCGTCTGCCTGCCTTGCCTCCCACCTGTCAGAGCTGTGCCAGAGCTCCGGGCGGAGGGGCAGGGTACCGGGATGGCACTCGTACCGGGCTCTCCTGCTATCATGGGCTGTCCTTTGCTGTCAGTCCTGCAGCCGACTTCTGGGCCAGAAGTCTCCGCTCGCTGTGCAGCGTCTTCTCAACGTGGCCCTCCCTGTGAGCTCTCGATTGAAGCGTCAGGATCTCCTCATGCTTTAGGAAACTGGCAGATGATAGGAATCTAGAAAGCTGTAAAATAAACAATCTAATGATACAGAAAACAAAAATGTGTAGGGGAACATTCATGGAAGAGGTGTTTTGGGAGCAGGCTTTTGGCCTAGTAGTTAAGGTGCTGGTGAGGATGCTCGCGTCCCCTGTCAGGTGCCTGTGGTTTATACTGGCTTTCCTCCCAATCCCAGCTTCCTGCTCATGCAGACGCTGGGAGGTGGCAGGTGTTGGCTCAAGTAGTTGGGTCCTTGCCACCTACCTGGGAAACTTGGAGTGAGATTTTTGCTCTCAACTTCAATGGCATTTGCGAATTGAACCAGAAGATGGGAGCTCTTTGTCTCTCTGTGTCTTTCCTGAAACGTTTTTCGAAAGGTAGTCTGTTTGACTAGTATTGAAGAGAAATGTGTCATGGGCTTGGGCGATCAAGAAGAGCTAAGTGGAATGACGAAGGTAAAATAAGCACAGGCAGATTTATACAAATATATTTATATTATAAGTTTATAAATATAAACCATATTTATTATGGTAATGCTTTGAAAATGTTAAATCGCCAAGATTAACTGGAGAAAATTGAGAAGAAGCACCACAGATGAGACATCAAGATGAGGAAGGTTCACACACAGACGTTGAAATCCTGACCAGTTCTGATATCTTCAGTGTGGCCTAAACCTTCAAAGATACTCTACGAGGTAAACGTTGCCATCATGCCTCTGCGGGGCCCGTGCTGGCTTCCTGCCCTGGGATTTGTCTGTGCGCAGCTCCGGGGGAGGAGATTGTCTTGCGGATGCTGCGCTTTCCCTTCTGACAAGGAGCACTGTCCTTTGTCACAGAGACAGCGGCCGCTGTGCCATTTCACTCCCCTATTGTTTCTTTACTCCATACTTTACAATGACTTTCTTTAGAGTGGCCTGGTAGTATAACTATCACCTCAGTGTGCAGCAGTCTCTTTGGGAGTAGTAATGTCAAAGCTTTCAATAGAAAAGTTTGCCTCCTAGCTAGCCCTGTTCTCACGCCCTTATGGTGCCATTAATTAATCTTTATACATTGCAGCCCATCCACACACATGAATCATTGCTTTATTCCATTATCTCTTAAATCATAGGAGAAAACAGTTAAGGCAACAAAAGTGTGTAGGCTTTCTTTGATGTTTACCTTGGCAGTCACTGTTTCCAGGACTGTTTATGTCTTCACGTGGACGCAGGTCACTCTCTACATAGCTTTCATTTCCACAGGAAACGCCCCTTTAGTCTTGCAGGGCAAGTTTCCTTATAGTGAGCACTCTGAATGGTTGAGTGTCTTAATTTTAAAATGTTTATTTGAGAGGCAGAGAGAGAGAGAGAGAGAGAGAGAGAGAGGGAGGGAGGGAGGGAGGGAGAAGGGAGGAAGTAGGAAGGGAAGAGAAAGAAGGGGAGGGGAGTGCTCCCACCCACCGGTTCACTCTGCCAGTGTCCGCAATAGCCAGGGTTGGGTCTGGCTGGAACCAGAATCTGGGAACTCAATCTAGGTTTCCCTCATGGGTGGCAGGGACCCATCACCAGCTACCTCCGAATGTGTGCTTTAGCAGGAAACTGGAATTGGGGGCAGAACCAGGACCCAAACCCAGCTACTCCCATATGGGACGTGGATATCTTCCGTAACCCAGGAGTCAGGAACTCATTGCAGGTCTGCCGTGTTGGTGGTGGCAGGAACCCAGTTACTGGAAGCGTCACTGCTGCCTCTCAGGGTCTGTACTGGCTGAAAGTTGGAGTCGGGAGCCAAAGTTTGAGCCACGAACCAGAACTGTTAATCGAACCCAAGCACTCCAGTATGGGATGCAGGTGTCAGCCGCTGTGGAAAATGTCCCGTTTTTGCCTTTATTTTTGAACCTATTTGTAATTTCAACTTGTATATTGTCTGGTGAAATATTGTTCATATACTTTTGTTTGTCTTTAGATATGGTTTTCTTTAGCTCTTTGAAGATATTAAAAGTGAAAGGGAAGGAATTTGAGTTAAACAGGTTGGATGAACAGTCATGCTGCCAAGAAGCAAGTTCGGGAGGGAAGCAGGACATGGGGAGTGAGCAGCGCGGTTGGTGCTGCATCATGTTTGGATACTGATGCTAAGAGAAAACGTCCCGTGGAGCCTGGAGTCAGAGGAGGTGTCAGGGATAGAGATACAGACTTGGTGGGATCAGTGTATAGCAGTTACTTAGACTGTGGGACAGGAGGTGACAAAGAGGAGGTTTCAGAGTTTTTCTTTCTTTCTTTTTTTTTTTTAAATTTTATTTGAAGGGCAGCATGACAGGGAGAGAAGAAAAGAGGGAGAGAGAGCTATTTGCTGGGTCACTGCTCAAATGACCATAATAGCCAGGGCTGGTCCAGGATGAAGCCAGGAGCTTCTTCCAGGTCTCCCACAAGGGTACAGGGGCCCAAGCACTTGGGCCATCTTCCTCTGCTTTCCTAGGAGCATTAGAAGGAAGCTGGATCAGAAATGGGGCAGCCAGGATTCAAAGCAGGTTTTCAATATGCGATGCCCACGTTGCAAGCGGCAGTTAGCCTGCTGCCCTGCAGTGCCAGCCCTGAGGTGTTAGGTGTGAGACCGGGTAAGTCAAGCATTAGCAGCTGATCAATGGAGAAGCCACCCATAAGGTTAAGCAAGAGCAGCCAGTGAGGTAGTACTGCTAGGAGAGTATGGTGTCCTTAATGGCACAGAAGAGTATTTAAATGTGGAGAGAGTGGTTCCTGTAGCACAGAGGATGGCAAATTAGAAGACAGGAAACTGACCATGAGAACTAATTTTTTTTTAAGATTATTTATTTGAGAGGTAGAGTTATAGAGATAGACCGATAGAGATCTTCCATCCACTGGTTCACTCCCCAAATGGCTGCAATGGCCAGTGCTGGGCCAGTCTGAAGCCAGGAGCTAAAAGCTTCTTCCGGGTCTCCCAGCTGGTGCAGGGAGTGCTTGGGCCATCTTGTGGTGTTTTCCCAGGCCATAGTAGACAGCTGGACAGAAGAGGAGCAGCCAGGACACAACTGGCACCTATATGGATGCCAGCGCCACAGGTGGAGGCTTAACCTACTACGCCACAGTGCTAGCCCTGATTTTTGTTTTTAAAATTTACTTGGGGGATTTGGGGGTGGGAGACAAAATAATTTTTTTTTTTTGACAGGCAGAGTGGACAGTGAGAGAGAGAGACAAAGAGAAAGGTCTTCCTTTGCTGTTGGTTCACCCTCCAATGGCCGCCACGGCTGGAGCGCCGCAGCTGGCGCACCGCGCTGATCCGATGGCAGGAGCCAGGCGCTTATCCTGGTCTCCCATGGGGTGCAGGGCCCAAGCACTCGGGCCATCCTCCACTGCACTCCCAGGCCACAGCAGAGAGCTGGCCTGGAAGAGGGGCAACAGGGACAGAATCTGATGCCCCAACCGGGACTAGAACCTGGTGTGCCGGTGCTGCAAGGCAGAAGATTAGCCTAGTGAGCCGCGGCGCCGGCACAAAATAAATTTGAGAGGCCAGCAGGGACCTAAAGACTTGGGCTGTCCTCTACTGATTTCCAAGGCGCACTAGCAGGGAGCTGGGTCAGAAGTAGAGCAGCTGGGACTTGAACTGGCACCCACATAGGATGCTGGCACTGCAGGTGACCACCTAACATGCTAAGCTACAATGCTGGTTCCCACATACGGACTTTTTAATGATGGAGGATACTTCACCTGCACAAAATCTTCAGGAACGTGAGGCCCAGTGTCACACAATTCCAAGTTCAGGTGACAAGAATGGTGTCAGGGCTGGGGAATGGGACACCTGTGTCGGCACACACAAGGGCAACCACAGGCCTTCATTTGTGATGGGCCACAGAGTCGCTGACATATGGCCCTGTTACTCTACGCAGGGCCACAGGAACTGAGAAAGTGGGGCAGGTGCTTGCCCTTGTCTTTGCCCAAGCAGCGCAGCAGCAAGGCCTGAACCTGTGGGGTCCCCATGGTTGTGGGACTCACTGAGACTCCTGCAAGCTGGTCAGACATTTATTGGGAGAGCGGAGCCCGCGCTCCATGCTGTGGCCTTTCAGACTGATACGATTTCAATGTGGAATTCGGGCTGCTTGGGAGGGACTCTGTATTGAACCTGCAAGAAGTCACTGCTCTGGAGGGGAGGTGTGTCCTTCTGGGGCTGGAACACGCAGACAGCGTCGCAGATCTGGCAGTAGCACTGCCGGCAGCGACACATGCGAATCCACGACTGCACCTTGACGGCCGCCTGCTCCTGTACTATGTAGAGCCTCAACAGCTTCAGCCGCCGCTGCTGGTACTTCCGCTGAAGGACCGTCCTCCACCAGCACTGGATCGTCCAGGCCCTGAGGGCGGCCACCAGCAGAGTCCTTCGCACCAGGAGGCCGCGCCACCAGGCCTGGATACAGCCCGCCGCCAGGACCATCTTTTGTTGGCGCTGTTTTGCAAGAAGCATCTAACCAAGCGAAGCAGAGGGATCCCCGTGAATTTGTCACCGTCAAACGCAGGAGGCTCCCTTAGCCCTCGGCCTGTCCCCCAGGGATTCTGAGGACCCAGGAACGCTGGGCGGTTTTAGCCTCTGCTTCTGCTCATCCCCTGAGCCATGGTCTCTTGTGGGTATGTTGGGGCTGCTCTTGTCCCCCAAACCCCACAGGTTCATGGAGCAGGGGAACTCTGTGACCCTGAAGGCCTGCCTCAGCTGCTCTGTGCTGCCTCCTGCAGCTCCTGCGCTGGCCTCTGGGGTCTTAGTGCCGACCCCCCACTCCCACCAAGGCACAGGACACAGACTTCTGTCTACTTCCACTCAGTCGTTCCACATCCTTGTGGGCCCAGGCCGACCCTTGTCCCCCTTCCCAGAACCCACCGTGCTGCTCCACACCCACCGTGGGGCGTGTGCACCTCCTGCCCACCCCCATCCTGTCTCCACACTAAGCACCCACCGTTCACCCGGCATAGGGAGGGGACCAGGGGACAAGAGAGCGAGGCTGAACCAAGCCCCGTGGGACCAGCGATGGAGCCTCCGCTTGCAGGGGGTCCGAGGGCCGGTGTTTGTGCTTCATTCCCGCTCGGGCCCCACCTACCTTCCGCTGCCGCTCTCTATCTCTGTTATCTCTGACTCGGCCAGGTTGCTGCAATCAGAGTGTGAGGTGGGGAGCAGGGGTGAGGAGCGCCTCTGTGCAAGGTCCCCACAGCCCCGCTCCCCACTCTTTCCTGGGGTCCCATGGTGGCGTCTTCTGCTTCTTCTGCCAAGGAGCATGCGTGCGCGTGCGCGCACGTGCACACACACACACCCAGCCCCAGGGGAGTGCCCGTGACTGAGTCTTACACAACATTCATTGCCCATGGTTGGAGGGAGTGGTTCCGGTGTTCACACCACCTCTGCTTACTGCTCCCCCAGCCCTGGCAGGGCCGGAAGGGTGTGGAGGAGACGGCCACGATGTCACAAGGGCAGCTATGACCAGGGACCCGGTTGTCTTCCCCAGGTCAAAGCTGTTGGGTGAAGGGGAGACCCCTGCCCGTTTCCCTCCTGCCGGAGGGGGACCAGAGTCCTCCGAGGGATCGCTGCCCGTGGCTGTCTGTCCTTTCCCGAGCGTGACCTCCGGCACGGCCCACTCACAGGCCCGCACCGTGGGCAGGCGCTGGGCAGAGCGGCTCCTGCCTGGCCACTGCTGGCAGCTGGATTGGGCTGCCCCCCACACTCCCGGGCTTTCTGCCATGGCACCCATCTCTGCAGATGGCCGAGTCCTGCTGTTATCAGGGAGCCCATGGGGCCAAGAAGGGTCCTGCTGGAGACACGGGGGCCAGTCTGCCCCCTCCCCCTGCCCTCCTCGTGGCTGCTGGGTGGTTTAGTTCACAGCCTCTGTTCCTTAAAACCAACCTTGCGTCCTGTGTCTGAAACTTCACGGCCCGAGGCACTTTCCCATCTAGGTTGCTGAGTCTGCGAGGGGCCCTGCCCCTGAGGACTGCTCTGGGGGCAGCCGTGGCTGAGTCTCCCAGGGGAGCAGCGCTGCAGGCTGCTTCCCAGACCACGGTCTCCGCCGTGGCGGGAACTGTGCCTCTCAGGGCACTGTCTGTCCACTTCCTGCCACCCAAGGAGAGGGCGCAGCTTCCTGCCCTTCCCTACACAAGTTGAAATTGCTTGGGATCTGGGACCAGCACATCCGTGTGGTGCCATGGTGATGCTTAGTGGGAGAATCCTGAGAGCCTAGGAAAGCTGTTGCTTCTCTGGGCACAATGACAGGTGTCACACAGGAGGCCAGGGGCCACTGTTCAGCAGATAAGAGCTGGATACAGAGCAAGGAAAAGCTACAAGGCTCTGTATCTGGCCTCAAAACATCTGAGCCAACGTTGTGGCTTAGTGGGTGAAGCCATGGCCTGCGATGCAGTTGTTTGTGTCCCCACTGCTCTACTGTCAGTCCAGTTCCCTGCTGCTAACGGCCTGGGAGAGCAGTGGAAGATGGCCCAAGTGTTCAGGCCCCTGCCACTCAGGTGAGAGACCTGGATGAATCTCCCGGCTCCTGTCTTCAGCCTGGCCCAGCCCTGGCTGTTGTGGCCATCTGGGAAGTGAACCAGCATTTGGAGGATTGATTTTCTCTCTTTCCCTCTCTGTAATTCTGACTTTAACTAACTAAATAAATCTTTAAAAAAGAAAGACCATCTGCTCCCCTTCTGTCTCCCCTGTCTCATGCAAGTTCTTTGGCAGCTTGATTCCCCATGCCGTCAGTGATGGGGATTCTGGGAATGTCATTGTTTTTTTTTTTTTTTTTGAAAGAAGTGCTTTGACAAACCCTGACACGTGACTGCCACGTGTGCTGTAGTTTGAGAAGTTCTCCCTTTCTTCTTTAGGTCTAACATCCTCAATAGGATTTTTCCATGGGGAGATTTCTCTCTGCAGGAGCGGTGTGGAGAGGTTTTCTTGGAAGTGAAGGCTGTGACATGAAGCTTCGGGGTAAGTGGAGTCATGGGTAAGAGAAGGACCCAACCCGTTCATCTCTTTTTTTTTATCGCAGTCATTTCATGAGTGGCTACTGGGTGCCCATGGGTCCCTCCTGAAGACTGGAACTAGGCAAATTAGAGAACTCCAAATCTGGCTAGTAAGTGACCCATCTCTGGTTCAGATCACGCTCACAACATTGTGATGATGAGCTGATCTGTCCGTTAAGCCATGCACTTTCCCTTTTTACTACACTGCACACCATTACAAGAATGATCTAGTCTTCTGTGTGCACGAAATTAAAGACAACCACATATTTATAGTCTAGAATTCTGAGGCCTACCTTCTATGAAGCTTTTCATTTAAAAAACCAGTGTTTTCTTTTTTTTCATAAAGATGTATTTATTTATTTGAAGGAGTTAGAGGAGAGGCAGAGAGAGAGACAGGTCTTCCATCTGCTGTCACTCCCCAATTGGCCGCCACTATCGAAGCTGCGTCGATCTGAAGCCAGGAGCCAGGAGTTTCTTCTGGGTCTCTCACGTGGGTACAGGGCCCCAAGGACTTAGACCATCTTCTACTGCTTTCCCAGGCCATAGCAGAGAGCTGGATTGGAAGTGGAGCAAGCAGCCAGGACTCAAACCGGCGCCCATATGGGATGCCGGCGCTTCAGGCCAGGGCGTTCACCTGTTGCACCACAGCGCTGGTCCCAACCAATGGTTTCAAACCCCTTCCTGAAATGTCACATAACATTTTTTTTTTAAGATTTATTTTTTATTTATTTGAAAAAGAGAGGTAGAGACCGAGAGAGAGGGCTTCCATCTGCTGGTTCACTCCCCAATTGGCCGCAATGGCCGGAGCTGACCCGATCCGAAGCCAGGAACCAGGAGCTTCTTCCATGTGTCCCACATGGGTACAGGGGCCCAAGCACTTGGGTTGTCTGCTACTGCTTTTCTAGGCCATGGCAGAGAGTTGGATCGGAAGAGGAGCAGCCGGGACCAGAACCGGTACCCATATGGGATGCCAGTGCTTCAGGCCAGGGCTTTAACCCTCTGTACCACAGTGCCAGCCACTTTTTTTTTTTAAGATTTATTTTATTTATTTGAAATACATAATTAGAGTCTTCCATCCACTGGTTCACTCACCAATTGGCTGCAATGGCCAGAGCTGAGCTGATCCGAAGCCAGGAGCTTCTTCCAGGTCTCCCATGCAGATGCAGGGGCTCAAGGACTTGGGCCACCTTCAACTGCCTTCCCAGGCCACAGCAGAGAGCTGGATTGGAAGTAGAGCAGCTGGGACTCGAACTGGCACCCATATGGCATGCTGGCACTGCAGGCTGGAGCTTTAACCTGCTGTGCCACAGCGCTGGCCCCTCACATAACATTGTTTAAGTGTTGATTAGTTTGTTGAGCTGTCATCATCCCTTTTCTTTGTTTTAAAGAGTAACTTATTTATTTGAAAGAGTTTCAGAGAGAGGGAGAGACAAATGGCCATAATGGCCAGTGCTGGGCCAGGACCAGTTCAGGAATCTGGAATTCTATCCAGCTCTCCCACATGGGTACAGGGGCCCTTGGACTTGGACCATCTTCTGCTGCTTCCCAGGGGCATTAGCAGGGAGCTGGTTTGGAAATGGAGTAGCTGGGACTTGAACCAGTGCCCATATGGAATGCCAGCATCCCAGGTGGTGGCTTAGTCCACTATACTATAACACCGGCCTCTGTCCTCACTGTTTGTTATCTGTACCAGCAAACTGACTTGAGTAAAAATGACTGTTCATAGACTCACAAAATTTGAGTTCCATAGTAGAGATAGACTAGCTCCAGGCACTGATTTTTCAGCTCAGAGGATTCTCAGGAGTTCATCTCTGTTTCCCGTAGCTCCACTGTGCTTCTCTTTGTTGGCCCCATGCTCAGAAAGCTTAGCTGCACCCACAGGCCCAAAGGAATCCTTAATACCCTCCCTGCCTCCCTCCTTCCCTCCTTTCCTCCCTCCGTCTGTTCTCCCCCCTCCCCCCTCTCCCCTCTCCCCTCTTCCCTCTCCCCTCTCCCCTCTCCCCTCTCCCCTCTCCATTCCATGGCCCCATTCTCATCAAGCTGTCTCGCCGCTGTCTGCACAGTCCTCACAGTTAGCAAAGACCTGGAAGAAACTCCTGTGTCCTGGCTTCAGTCTGGCCCAGCTCTGGCTGTTGCAGCCATCTGGGGAGTGAACCAGTGGATGGAAGACCTCTCTCTCTGCCTCTGCTTCCCCCTCTTTCTAACTCTGCCTTTCAAATAAAAGAATGATATCAAAGGGTTTGAATAGATACTTTGCCAAAGAAGATACACAAATGACAGACAAGCACAGAACATGCTCAACATCATTAATCAAATTAAAACCACTATGAACTGGCACTTTGTACCCACCAGAATGATTATACTTTTAAATGGAAAAATGTAAGTGTTGACAAGCACTCACGTGCGATGTGGCAAGAGCATAAAATGGTGCAGCTGCTAAGTATTCATGGTGGCGTAGTCCCATGAGCAAAAAGCTGCAAGCATTCCAAATGCCAATCCGTGGATGAATGGGCAAAGGGTGAGACTTGTACATCCATTCAGTGAAGTGTCATTGTGATACAAAGTTTATGAAATACCTGGAACATGGATAAAAACAAAGTGATTATGTTCAGTGAAAGACTAAGCAGAAAATATAATATGCTATTTATGTGAAATAAGAATACATAAATCCATGGAGACAGCACATAGAGTGGGAGTTCCTAGTGGCTTGAGTAGGGGAGGAATCTGAATGATTGCTAAAAGGGCATGAGATCTACTTCTAGGGTGATAGCAGTGTTTTCCAACTTGATACAGGAGGTGGCTACTTAACAGTGTGAATGTGTTTAACCCCACTGAATTGCTAATCTTAGTTTAATCATTAACCTTATGTGGTTCATCTAAAGCTGGTTCATCTTACATTATGTGAGATTTGCTTTGGCCATACGCATATGGACACAAGTGTGTACACACAGGTTTTGTGCTCTGGTGTGTGTCAGGTCACTGGGGTGCCTCCATAGGAGGAGACAAAGGCCAGGCTCAGGAAAACGAAGCTTAATCAACTCCAGGTCCTAGAGATAGATCCACTGCCTGCCATGCAGGTCTCCGTCTGGACACGGAAGACAGGAACAGGGGAGAGTTGAGGCCGTGGTCTTTGTAGGAGTTTCCATGGCGGAGGCCAGGCAGGGCAGGGTGAAGAGGTTGGAACTGCCAGGTCTGATGAATCCTGCCAGGCCCCAAGCTATAGAGGCGGCCCCTAGTTGCCTGGCACCTGACCTGGGCTGATTTAGGCAGAGGAATAAGGCCCCTGGGTGTTAGGGCCGGAATAGCTCAGGGTTCTGGTCTTTCGTACCCCCAGAAAGGAGAGACAGAAAAAGGAGCTGGAGAGCGACCTCAACAGAGACAGGTTGCTTTACTGGAAGCACAGAGGTTGGCACCACCTGTTCTTAGGAAGAGATTGTGTGCTGGGTGCACTTGGGACTCAG